CTCCACGCCTGGCTCCTGGCGGAGTCCGGGGGCGGGGCACGGCCCGGCCTGGCCTAGCGCGGCCTCCCCCGGACAAAGGGCCTAGAGCAGCCCCACACCCCTCCTCCCCGCAGCCTGGCGAGCGGGAGGCTGCAGCCGCTGCTGCTCCGTCTCCTCCGGGTAGGCCCCAGGCCTGCCCGCGAGGCCCGAGTTCCATGAGCTGCGGCGGGCGCAGCCTCCTGTCCCGCGTCCGCACCTCCGGCGCCGTGACCCTTGCAGGACGGCTGCGGTGGCCTTTCTCTCCTGTCTTTTCCGTCCGGGGGGCACCAGGAGGCTGGAGCGAGGCCTTCCATTCCTGCCTCAGTGGCAGTGCTGTCTTGTGCAGCCTGCACGCACCGCCCCCCCCCGACGTCTGATCCCAGGGAGAGCACGTCAGCCTTTTTGTGTCTCTTTCCTCATAAAACTTTGGCAGCAAAGCGAGGTTGGGAGCAGGGGTGGCAAGCCTGGGTCCTGCTCTCTCACAGGCAAGGTGGTCTCTAGAGAGGAAGATCCCTTCCGTGTCATTTTTTCCCCCCAAAATAGCATCAGTAAGGAAACATTTTTTTGTACAGTCTTCACCATCGAATTTTTAACCTGCAGCTTATTGCCAGAATGTCTGAGTCGCCCCCCATGACATCAGTAGGAAAGTGGACGTTGTGCTCAGATGTGTTGTGCTTTGTGAGATGAGAAATGGGATAGGGGTGTTCCTGGTATTGCACTTGGTGGATTTTTTTTCTAGTTTTCATTTAGAAGAAAAAGTGGATTTGATTCATGCAGTGAGACGACAACCTGAACTCAGCGCGAGCGGCAAAAGCCAAGTGTTTTATGTTTCCATCACCTGTTATACGTTTGGTTTTTTTTGTTGCGCACCTGCAGGTTGGAAGGCTGAGAGGTGTCTGCACAAGTGCGAATAACAGTACATCAGCGTCAACCTTTGCCACACAGAAGCGAGACAGGTTTTCCCAAAACGTCCCAGCGAGTTCCATGTTCTAGACTTTCAGATTGGTTGGGCAGCTTCTAAGCTGGTAAATGCTCTGCTTAGGACGTAGTATATTAATCTCAAATTTACAGCTGTTTTTCTTTTTTTTGTATTATAATATCATGAAAGGATTCCTACTCATTGCAGGCAGTTGTTTAATGTGATTGCAAACTAGAAGCCCTGGGATTATTATACATTTGAAAAGACTGGGCATCCTTCTCTCTTGTGTATGCAAGAGAATGAGAGTGCACTTGTGTTCTTTAAGGCTATGATGACTCCAAATGTTGGGAAAAACTAAATTCTTTGGAATTCTGGATTCAAATTCTGGTAGCGTCAGCTTAGTCTCTTGTTCTGACAGAAACTTGAATGCTCTGCAGACATGTTATGTTGAGGGTCTTTCAGATATGAGCTCTGAAATTGAAGTGCTGTGTATAAACACTAAAGGTCCTGTGGCACTGTTCTTAAGAGGCTTGGAAATTTATTGAAAATTCCCTTTCTCTTAATTGCATTGTTTCACACATGCTGATTAGTTATTGCTCTCCTCTTTTCAAGTGGCCAGATTTCACCGATGCCGTGCACACAAAGCCGTGATACGCTCAGAGGTGGGAATGTTGAGAAACGCAAAATATTTGTTGAGTTGACTTTTCATCTCTCCTTTTCCTACAATCTGTGGATTTATCTGCCCCAGATTACAAGATCAACAGGTCAGGCAGTGACTTACATGATTATTCAGCACTGTCTGATGGATACTTTTCTTAAACATAAAGTAGAAATACTCGTATTTACTATATAAAAAACCCCAAATCCTAGTTGATTGTCTGTCATCCTGCTCTAAACCTTCTTAAAATAATTGTAGAAAGTTTTGGGGTGAGTGGTTTTTGTTGAAATTGCTGTTGTTTTCCTGAAACTAAAAGAATGTTAATTGGTATACTCTGATTTTAACAGATATATTACCAGCATCATGAACTGGAACAAAGGTGGACCTGGCACCAAGAGAGGCTTTGGTTTTGGTGGGTTTGCCATAGCCCCTGGAAAAAAAGAGGAACCTAAGCTCTCTCAACAGTCCCATAGCGCTTTTGGAACAGCTGGCTCTTCTGCTGGGTTTGGGAAGTCAGGGCCACCTCAGCTCCCTTCCTTCTACAAAATTGGTTCCAAGAGAGCTAACTTTGATGAGGAGAATGCGTAAGTTATGATACTTTCTTTTTCATAACTCAGGGCTGTCCAACTTCTAACTGTGAACCACAGGGCTCCCCCATCCCAACCTCAGCCACACCCCATACAGGCTGCATGCCATGCCATGTGACCCCCAAGCCCCATCCCATTGTACTGTGCCAGTATTCCTGCACCACACCACATCATTCTCCCCTTCCTCACCACTGTGGGTGCCCTCGTCCTGTTGTATCATGTGACAGGCAACCCCCACTGCCACATGGGGTTTCTTGGTGTCCGTCAGCCCTGCCTCCAGGGGTGGGGCAGGAAGGAAAAGCTGGAGGAGGGAGTGGGAGTTGAGTGTTTTGTGGCAGCAGCAGAAGGTTTGGGAGGGGAGGAATGGTGATGGAGGAGGGGTGGGGAGCAGCACCTGGACCAGGAGCCTGGTAACTGCAGATTAACACCTCAGGGTCTGTATGCGGCCCACGGGCTGCCAGTTGGACAGCTCTGGTTTAACCTAGTGATGGTAGGACTGATGGTTCTATAGGCCTCAAAGAGGAAATTTCATTGATGGAAGCTGATAAGCAGACAGGTAGATGAGAGTGTCTGAACCTTGGTTTCCTTATCTGTGAAAGGGGAGGGAAAATATCCTTTCTGCCTCTTGGTTAATATTTGGACAGCTTGTTTATTTTATGTACTTAGTCCTCTTCAAGAACCTAGGCAGCCTAATACCTCTTTTATGGCATAATAAAATACCAATAATATTAATTGTTTCAACAAAAACTTGGCCAGCCACTACAGAAAGTTCCTTCTACCCCTTCATACTCTTAATCGTTTGCAAAATACTGTCTAACATGCTTCATGCAGTAAGATCAATACATACTCATTCAAGCTAAGAGTCAGAGTGAGTTGCAGAGTTTTGGAGTGGAG